TCCGCCTATCTCACACTGCGAATTTTTTCTAAGCTCTATACTAAACATTAAATCTGTTACGAAAAAAGAACTAAACAAAATGAACACAAAACGATCAGCTTTAAAAAAGAACTCGTAACTGGAAAAAACCGAATGAAAAAAGAATGTTAACAACAAATACTTTTTCACACCCAACCCAGTTCTGCGGAATCAGAATCAACGTTGAGTTTAAGCAAGCGAATGAGCCAATTGGAGTAAAGTGCCATGCAGATTTAAATTTCCCACTTGTGACGAATGCAGCTATGGATTTTTTTGCATGCTATCATGCTAGTTAACATTCGTGTCAGCCAGCTGTTGACTCTCACGCTGGCCAATAGAATCTTCCTGCCTATTTGTGGCAGCCAGCTATAGGCTCTCACTCTGGCCAGTAGAAAATGGCCGCAAACTACATGAAAACTGCCGTAGAAGCATGAAAAAAAATCGATTATTTCCACTATCGGTGGAAGTTGGGAAATGCAAAGTCGGTCTTGGCCTTCCCGCTATCTTAGAGCATGTGCATGTAAATTTTGGTGCAAATCCGCCGAAAATTGCGGCCGTACATTTGTTACACACACACACACACACACACACACACACACACACACACACACACACACACACACACACACACACACACACACACACATCCTGCCTTTTATATATATATATATAAATTCATGAATCATTCATACAAAAAACAAATATAGAGGTTAATGATTTAAATGGCGAGAATACATCTTCGCAAACAATATAAATAAGATACATCAACCCCGAACCTGTATATGAATGATATGATCCCTGTTCATAAATTCCAGTTGCATATGGTCTTTTAATTTTTACAAGCTGTCGTCTATTCCTACAGGCATCCTCAGGTATGGAAATAAATTTTGTTCTTGTTTTTACTTCTCGGTAATAAGAGGACAACGAAAATAGAGATGTAATCCGAAAAAATGCTATGAGAAATGTGTTATTGTTTTGGAACGTGCGGTCGTTACGCTGAGTTTGAATTTAAATTTTAAGGTTGTGCGTTTTTGTACAAAAGAGAATTCTTTTTTACTGGTAGATTTTCCGTCAATGTGGCATGAACTATATTGTTCAATAATTACAGAAATGTCACGCTTATTATCCGAAAGTTGCACGTTGGATCAGTTATTTTAATTTCAAATTAAAGGTGCAATTATAATTTATAAATTCATGAATCATTCATGAATTTATAAATTATAATTGCACCTTTAATTTGAAATATATATATATATATATATATATATATATATATATATATATATATATATATATATGTAAGTTAACACTTCTATCCTTAGGCCCCATTTGTGATGTACACTTCGGCGACCATGCCTGTTTTCGATTCATGATCGACTGAGCAAAAGATTTCGCAGTAGAGCGCCTTTATTTTCTGCAGTAGACTATTTGCCAAGCAATGCTATAGAACCTTGTTTGTCCTGCTATCTAACTCATAACTGGGAGAAGTTGTGAATTCATAACTTTACAAACACGTATTTGCACATAAGTGAATGTAACAAACTAGACTGGAATACGAACTCTGCTCTACAATTTTGCGTTTTAAGCCGTTATCCATCACACCATCCACACATCCAAGCTTACAGCACATTCCCAACCGCCCATCCATCTAGGTGCTGACCAGACTCAACGTTGCTTAACTTTGGTGATCGAACGATAACACTATATTTTTTTAAATCATTCATTTTAGACTATATTAAATAATATTTTGTATTTTTACGAAGCAACATAAAATTTAATACAATTGTAAGGATACAAAAGTCGATTGTCTCCATTTGGTTGTGATAAAGTCACGATGGTCATGTGGCGTCAGGGTATCATGTAACGTCAGGGCATAGAATGACGAAGGGTAGTTGCAATGTAAAGCCTGGAGAAGAACGTCACAAGCTCACAACAGTGAGACTTACAGAGAAAACTACATACCATCACCAAGTACATAGAAAAACCGCTGTTCCGCCAGTTTTCACTTTGGGAAATATTACAAGTATCTCTCTTTTCGACTCCTTTTCATACTGCTTGTCGTTGTATACATGTATTATAATCTGTCTGTGTGGCAGCAGTATAAAAATTTGTACATAGTTTTGTGTATGACTTAGCAGTATAAAAATTTCTTTGAGAACAAAGCATGTTTGTCATTCCTTTTCATTCAAATATTCTGTTCCGTCTGTCTATTAAAGTGCTACTATATCATGGATATAATGATGCCATAATGAGGGAAATGCAAATAGGAAATATTTCTTTTCTGCACAGCACTCCCATTACAATTGTTTAAACGGAGGTGTTAAAGATGAAGAATCAATGAGAATGATGGTATTCTTTTTTTCTTATATTAAACTATATGAAACTATGGTCCAAAATTTGTTATTCTTATCATCAAAACTGACAGTAAATATTGATTAGTTAAAACCAACCAATATATTGATGTAGCATGTTTTATAATTGAAAATGTCTTCTTAAATAAAAATGTGTCAAACGTTGAAATTGCCAGATATTGTGTTGATGGCCGACTCGCAAAGGAAACTACAGGACCTCCTAGACAAGGTGGTAGAAGAAAGCAAGAAAATGGACTAACCATCAACTGTAAGAAGATAGAAAGTATGGTCGCCAGCGAGTACAGAAGTTTAAATATCTAGAAAGTCTTTTAACAGTGGATGGAAAATGCGTCACTGAAATCTGAACACGCATTGGACTAGCGAAAGATTCATTCCAAAAGCCAAGAAACATTCTGAGAAACAGAAAAAAATCGTTAGAAAAAAAAGAAAAAAAAAAGACAAAAGTTGTTATGAGATATTTATCCTCTTATGTCAGTAAATGCTGGACAATCTCCCTGCAGATGAAGAGAAAACAGGGGTGGGGAAGAGATGTTGATCTACAAAAATAAAAGGATACTGAAAATTCTATGGACGGAGTGATGTAAACCACGAGGAATGCTTAAAGAAAATGGCAACAAAAAGAACACTTATGCTCCGAACCAGAAGAGATAGTAGACATTACTTTGACATATAGTGAGGAAGGAAGGTTTGGTAAACCTAACGCTCATATGGTATACTGGGAGCAAGAGAGCTAAAGGAGGCAGCGAGCCTCTGACCTAACGAGTTTGTGTGAATGGATGATGGAAAGAGGGACTGACGACTTAGCAAATGTAGAAAAATTGCTAACGGCCAAAACGGATACGAAGATTTGGAGAGCCATGATCACGTATGAACTGGAGGGGTGCGACACAGAGAAGAAAAATAATATAAAAAAGTATTATTTCAGAATAACCGTATATTCCATATTGTCTGCTAGCTGATCCCTAACTTACGCCAGAGAGCTTTGGGTTTTAAACTATTTCACCACCTGTCACTTCGTTGACGTCAAGATGATCAAATTTCAAATCTAAATTGTTCGTCCATTTAAAACACTATATAACATATATTCATTTTAAACAGGAATCAAAAACATAAAAATGTCTTCGACGGCCACACATTTCGTATAATCCAGGAGAAAGAGAAATTAGCCATCATGACACACAGATGTTATTACTGTTTTATTCAAACAATGTTTGAATGTTCGTTTTCGTGTGCGCATGTATATTTCAATCCAATCACTGACCTTGTAAAAATTCTACAAGTTTTAAAAATAAACAAAACATTAAAATAATTTCATCTATTACCAAATAATTTCCGAAAAAGGGTTTTATTTTATTTTTCTTACGATGTTATGTTTTTATTGCCCAGAAAGGATACAGGTTGCCTATACAGAGCGAGAGTGAATGCATTATTCCAAAATCAAGTTTAGTCAAATGGTGTATGTACATGCGTGTGCTTGTGTAAGTCGCTCACACAGTGCACATATACTTTACATGCATGAATGCAAAGTCACACGCAGTGAGTGACGGGCAGGGAATCAGTTCTTATTTAATAATATGAATTATGGCAGTCTAAGTAATATTTGGTTCTCATCTAGCTGAGAAAGTCTAAAGTACTGTGGGTGATACACCCATGGGCGAATGGTCTGAAACCAGAGTAAACCAATCTTGTATTTTTGCTCGAATCCTTGTACTAAGCCCGAGGAATCCATTATTTTCTGTCACGACTCCTTTCTTCAAGACAACCTGCGAGGTGGATTTGTTTTTGAAGTTACTTTCTTTTAGACTTTAAAGAGGCAGGACCTACAAGACAGTAATTTGTTGGATTTTAATTCTAAGTTTTTCCTTCTCTTAGACTGGTTGGCAACTAAGTCTATAGGACCCAATCTGTCCTTCTATTTACCCATAGCTTTATGAATTCATACCTTTACCAAGGGTATTAGCACGTAAGTGAAAGTAATAAACTCGAATGGAATTCGAACTCGGCTCTCAGATTTCTCAATTCGAGCCTCTACCCATTACTCCTCTGTGCCTCCATAATATTTATAGTGGAAGAAAAACGCTACAGTGAAACAATACTACTATAATATTTTGTCTTAATTTTATGGTCAAAGTTTTAATATTTTAACAAAGAAACTTTTCATAGCAGTTACAGTTATTACATATATTTACACAGCATAGTAGACAAGCCTACAAGTATGCTGGGTCATCTAGTGAGGATCGAACTCACAACTCAATAGTTACTATGCAACCTCGATAACCATTACTCAGCGACAGGGCCCTGGTTAATTGCTAACCTTAGTTTTGAGCAAGATCACATTACCCAATGAAGATTAAATGCACTTCTTTTTTGTGCCGTGTCCATTCAAGACGTGGAAAATCATGGCTTTCCACAACGCCCTATCCTTTGTAACTCTAAGCAATGTTTATTCTCTTATTATTCTTCCCAGTTTCTGTTCTACCATCCATTTACACAAGCTTGTAAGGTAGGTTGCCCGATGTTTCCATCTCTCTTGCTTTTAATATGTCCTATGAGTATCAAATTCGCCAAGCCATAATTCCTCGTTATGTATCCATGAAATGACATGATCCCAGCCATATCACGTTGAAACACCGGTTCTCGTACGATCACCGAAGTTAAGCAACGTTGAACCTGGTCAGTACCAAGATGTGTGATCGCTTAGAAATATCAGGTGTTGTAAGCTTGGATGTGCGGGTGATGTAATGGATAACGACTCGAAATTGGAGATCAGAGAGCCGGGTCACAAATCCAGTCGCAAATACTTTTGAGAAAGAGATGAATTCAAATCTTCTCCCTCATGTATGGGTTAAATAGTAGGGCTTGTATCAGTAAATCACTATTATCGCTAAAAGATTCTTACAGTTTAAAAATATTTTCTGGTTTAAATTACCTGTAATGGGTTGACAAATCAAATCAAATCAATCAACCAATGAAATTTCAACTGTCCCTTTTGGTGTCTTTTTTGCATCCATTTTCCTTAAAACCTCCTCGCTGTTCACATTAATCGATTCATGATATTCTCTAGTCAAACTTGCAAACCATTTGAGGATGCATTATGGTCGACATCTCATTTAAGATTCCTTTATAAATCGAAATGATATCGGAACTTTGAAATTAGTTTCTGAATCAACCGTCGTTACTCCTGTGTTGAATATATAATTTTATTTATGGATTATCAACAATCTTCTCAGTTCACTGAAGATCTCTAGCATTCCTTCAGAACTACCCGACGTCGGGATAACTGGACCTATGATGCGTTGTTAGGAGGAGTATATTCAACGTTATCTTTCTTTTAGGCTGATTGTCCTACAAACAGCGGATCTTAGTCAATCCTATTATTTTACCCATAGCTAGTGGACGAGTGTGAAGGAACTGATTCGCGAGGTTTCCAAGGGCATTAATGCTATAAAGTGAGCGTAATTATTTTATTCGGTCGAGCTATCTCGGGCCTTCATGTACCTATAAACCATCACAGTCCTGCATTAAGGTCGAAAGATCATTCTCTGTCATAACATAGCTGGTCAATGTATGTGGTTACTGGGCGACCGACCCGTATTTCTTCAAGGCTACGTGTCCAGATCAGTAGATCATTCGCAAGTTCTTGTTTTGCTCGCCAGCAGTATCCTGCAAAGTGCATTCTGCATTTGTGTAAGATTATAGAAATATCAGGGATGGGTCCATACAACTGTGATTTAGTTGGATGTTGTCTCTAGAAGATGTTAAGTATAGCTCTCAGCATCTGAGTGTAGGAAAAACCAGACAAGACGAACACACTTAGACTCTGGGGTTTTAATCAATGTCCAGGCAGTAGTACTATACATTAATACCTACATTAATCTACAGTGGCTCGAAAGAATCTCCGCTTGAGGTTGTCTGGTAGAAGGTAAGGAAGTTTTTACCAAATAAATGAGGAACTTTTTCACTTGTTGAACCATCATGGGAACGTAATAGAATCAGCCAAATTATGAATTCATCTTGCCGCTTGCGTATTCTATTTTCCGATCCGATAATCATTATTCCACCCGCAATAAACGGGTCAAAATTATTTAATATAACTTCTTTTTATCCAAATTGTACGAAAAGAAATCATGAATAAATGATCAATTGATTTCTGGGGAAAGGAGAAAATAAAAACAAACACAACTAGTTCATTTCGTGAATTGTCAGTGATATTGGGGTGTTATTTTTAATTAATACAACAATCATCCCAAAATATCCCTAAACAACCCTCCCTCCCAGTTCTTGTATCAAAATTTAAAATCAGTGAATAGTTCAAGTGGATCAATATGTCATTTTATTTCTTCGTTTAATGACCAATCAAACCCATCATTTAATTATTTTGAGCAAGTAAATCGCCGAGCCTAGATTTTTTGCCCTAAAAATAATCAACGGAGTACAAAGCTTATTAACATATTCAAGTACATTTGACCGTTAAAATAAATAGACGTAAGTTTTATTTAACCACCATGACTGAGGAGGGTATAAAAAGAAGAAAAAAAAACAATTGGGAAAGAACAATGAACAATTCTGTTTATAGGTTTAATGTTTTCTTTGAGTGCTTGTTGTTTCAATAATGTTTATATTTATCTCATATTATTCATTATCTATCTATCTATCTATCTATCTATCTATCTATCTATCTATCTATCTATCTATCTATCTATCTCAGTCTATTCACATCTGCTTCGAGAACCCGTAGACATTTTACAATTCGAATTTTCTGATGAATAAGAATTCTAAAGCTAACGGTTGAATAAGTAGGTAAGTAAGTATTTTTATGGTTTAAAAATAAAATGAATTTAAAAAAAAACAACAACTTTCTCGTGCTTTTATTTTAGTTTTAATTGCAAGTTAAAAGATTAAAGTTAATATTTCCAATATGCAAGCTAGTTTGCTGTATTTCAAATTGAAGTTATATTGATTAGAATTAATCTTTTTTGATTATCAATAAAAACGTTAAAATCGCTCATATTGACTCTTTATTAAAACATCTTTCAAAAATAAAATATACTTTTCTGAAACGTTATTTGAGAAAAATTAGTTAACGTTTAATTAATATGAATTGGAAACACATATTACTTACTTTTAGTTTCAAATATCGTAGAAAAGCATTTTTAACTGTCGATAGCTTGATGATTGTAAAATATATCTAAGTTGGTCTTTCATCTTTATAATAACAAATATTTTGACCATAAAACTTTGTTTTTATTATGTTTTGGGCATCTTTGCATCATGTATGCTCATTTTTAGCGAATTTTTGAATGTACCTAAATAATCTCCTTGCGTGTTCTACGACTATAAAATTCCCTATTGCTTTGTTAACTAGTTCAGCTTAACAACTTTAACAAAATATTGTAAGAACAATCATAAGTATGAATGCAGGTCATTATTTTAAGAAATAAGTAGGTACAAATTAAAAAAAATAAATTGACAAGTTTTTCCCTTTCACTGAAGCAGACGTTAATCACATAAGAATGTTATTTCCTCCTCTATCTATATCTTTCTTTCTTTTTTTCCTTTTTTTTACTGTAAGGTTTACTCTGTATAAGGTCCGAGAGCCATTCGAAGAGGAGGGTTATATTAAGAGGTAGTTTATACGGATAAGAGAGGAAGACTAGACTTGAACAGGTTAAGATTGTAGTGATCAGGGAAACATCCTCTTGGGAGTTGGTTCAACGGAGCAGTAGTTTGCGGGAAGAAGCTGTTTGAGTGGAACTTCTCACCAATGGAACACGGAAGAAATCTGGCTGGTTTCCTACTATGTAAGTGACATAAAGGTTAGAAGTGTGGGATAGAACTGAAGGTTAAAACCGACGGAACCAAGGAATGTAGTTCATCCGGGCACTTTCCATGGAAGTAGCAACAAAACAGTAAGAGGCTGCCACACTCTGTCTGTGAGAGAGAGGTTGGAAAGTATTTTGTCACCGATAAGGATTCGAAGATGTTTTTAGACTCTATCAAGCCTGCAGAGTGAGGACTGAGCAGCTCTTGGCAAAATATGACAACAGTATTCTATTCTAGACCTGATCTGCCTCTTGTAAAGGTAGTGAATAGCATGCGGAGTCGGGTACTTATTGGAGCGGTACAGAGAACCGGCCATTTTTCCTGTAGCTTTTACGATGGATCTTATGTACGAGTTCCACTTGAAATCAGGGGTGAGTTTAAGGCACAATAGTCTCTGAAGACACGGAGCTTCCCCGAAAGAATATCCATACATCGAGATTGGCGGTAAGTCGGTGTCCTTTCGGCAATGATGGAATGGAACTAGTTTTGTTTTTGAGGCATTGAATGTAACCAGTCAGCCGAGTGCTAGATCAGATGAGAGATCAGCTGCCAATCTCTGATCATCAAGAGTTTTGGGGGTGCACCCGTATATCGTTGTATCATCAACATACATATTCACAAATGATCTGAGTATACTCTTAAGGAGATCATTTGTGTAAATTGAAAAGAGAGTTGGTTCGAGAAGCGACCCCTGGGAGACAACTTTGATTGCTAGGGCATTGGCGGACTGACTTTTCACAACTACCTTTAGAGACCTACCCGTATACATCGGTATAGATGTTCACAAAAGATGTGAGTATATTCTTAGGCAGATTATTTATGTGAAACAAAAAGAGGATTGTCCCGAGAATTGACCCTGGGATGTTGGGTATGGTTACGCCTGCGTTGACCGCCAGGGTGCCGGAGGACTGATCTTCAGGGACCTACCGGTTAGGAAGGACTTTATAATTGAAAAGTTCTTTCTTTCACTGGAACCAACCGCATCTCTATGTCTTTCCTTGCGATCAAAATGGAATAGTCCATACGAATTATCCAACTAAGCAACAAGCAAAAGCATAATATGATGTATGCTATCTATCTATCTATCTATCTATCTATCTATCTCAATCTTATCATTATCTCCCCCACTCTCTCTCTCTATATATATTTAGATATATATATGTGTGTGTGTGTGTATGTGTGTGTGTGTGTTTATTTAACATCTATGTATCTGTAAAAATAGTATTGCGTTGTGCGTTCTGATTGATAATATAGTATTATTTTACTGTTAACTAATGATCAATTAACGTACGTTAATGCTTCTAATACTCCCCACGAAAAGAAATGATGGATAAAGAAAAAATGACGAGATATACTAATGGTTAAGGAAGGTTGCTGAAAGGTTACAACAAGAACAATATCTTTAACTGTCCGTTTATTTCAATGAACTCATGAACAAAGAACTCAAAAAGAATACCTCTCCAGCTCCAATAGAATACCGCTTAAATAGATTAAGCATTTTGAATATATATATATATATATATATATATATATATATATATATATATATATATATATATATATGTGTGTGTGTGTGTGTGTGTATATATATATATATATATATATATATATATATATATATATATATATATTAAAGAAAAAAAAGCCGCAAACGTTTTTAATTATAATGTGAACTTTTTATATACTTTATTCTATATATTTTGCAAAATATATAGAATAAAGTATATAAAAAATCCACGCTATAATTAAAAACGTTTGCAGCTTTTTCTCTTTTTAAAATATACTTTTCTCCCGTTGGAGCAGCAATAATAGTTCAACAAAATAATTTATTAGTTTAATGTATGTAATATTTTCCAACCCAAAGCAAGTTCTTTTTAATACTATATCAAAAATACAT